AAACGAGGTTGCATACTGCACTATAATTATGTGCGTATTGTACTAAAATGAATTAGTAATTATTTTCAGGTTGATCAGGAATGACAACAACCGGTTTTTATAAGGATGCAAAAGGATATAGGCAACTAGATATGCATCAATATTTGTGCGTACGTGATACAGAAGATATTGTTGAATATGCTGTGGATGAGGTGGATGATACTTGCTCACCATATGAGTCTAAGAAAGGTACATAAGTTATTTACGAAATAATGTTCAATAAAACTAGCCACAATATTCATCTAAAAAAATCAATAAGTGTAAAATAATAACGCAACCGATATCTGTGTCCCTGATCAAGATAATAAAATATGAGTAGAATAAACATTCTGGTGAAAAGTTGACAGATATATTTTACATAGGATATAAAGAATGTTTCAAATGTTTCAGAGCTGTCTGCTAATGGGGGTGAACCTCCTGATGATACTCTTGTATTAGAACTTGACTTCAGTCTCCCCACCCCATTCTCAACCCAACCCAAGAAGGAATGTAGAAAATTCTCAAGGTTGTACTGAGAACATGTTCATGACATACAATTCCCACAATTGATGCCAGTGGCAGCAGTGAAAATGAAGAGGGCATCTCTCATCCAGCAAATCTGTTCAAGCGATGGATGACCTCTGATGACCTCTTAGATATTGTTGCTCAGCAGTCCAACTTGTATGCAGTACAACAAAATATAAACATACTATTAGCTTTAGAGAGGTCAGATCTTCGAAATGCTTTGGATTGTGAATGACTATTTCTGTCTGTAGAATACCTAATACGAGATTGCACTGATCAAGCTTTTCTGTGGGAAATAAAAAAAAAAAATCAGTTCAACCATATGCAATGACAGGTGGGAGGAAGCAAAAGTGAATTAACACCTCACAGATAAATCTCAAACAGATTCTAAAGACAAATTAACTAAGATAAGGTTCTTACTCGGACACCTGAGATCAAAATTCAAAGAAATCCCCATAACAATATTTGTGTGTAGATGTAGATGAATTCAAGGAGAATTCATATATTCCTAAGAAACCACATAAACGTGCATATATGATTTTATGAATTATGTTTAATAAATCGAATATCTTTTAGCACTTGTCTGAAATATATAAACACACACACACACACACACACACACACACACACACACACACACACACACACACACACAACACACACACACACACACACACACACACACACACACAGTGACATGACCAATCATTTGGCCTTGAAAGGAAAGGGAGGTTACTCTTACTCATCAAATTAGGGACTAAAATTGATTATAACCCTGATAACTAATGATTGGTTACATTGGTATGTACAAGAAAAAACAAAATCAATATGAGATTTGCCGGGGATACTGTAAAGCTTATGTATTATTATTATTTTTTCTTCAGTGTATGTTTCGCCCAATATCATTTGTTTTCTGTTTAGAATATTAAGGGGTATATATTTCTTCTTCCTTCTTTTTATAGGGTTTTTAGACTTTTGAGCAGTCTATATCTCCTGTATCCTTTTTGTTTTCTATGCTTTCTTTTATATGATCTCTGTTAATTTGGTTTTTCTTAGGAAGATTTGGTGTGTCTTAGAGTGTAGTACGTTTCTGTTGGGGACAGATCTGCAACTGTGAATAATAGGTTTATGTTAGGGTTGATTACTTTGATTTTTCTTAAGGCTTCTTTCAATTTAGTTCTGTTGGAGTGAAATCGTGGACAGTGTAGCGCTAAGTGTTCTATATCTTCTTGGTTATGACACCATCTGTCGAGGGGGTCATTTATTATTTTCATTCTATGTAGGTGTGATTTAGTCTTGTGTGCGTTTTTTATTCTGGTTATGCAGACAATCTAGTTTTCTATTGTTGGATCCTGACCATGGCTGCGGTTCTGTGTTTTTCAAGAGATAATTCTTGTGTTGTTAAAAATTGTGTTTAGCTATGTTTTCCAGTTGCTCTGATTTTTTTATCTTGTTTTATGTTTTTTGTGTCTTCTGTATGGTTGTGGGATATCTTATTTTGTGTTTTTTTTTAGCTGCTTGATCGACTATTTCATTGCCCTTTATGTTTTTATGTGAAGGTATCCACTGTAACATTATTATTTGATTTTGATTTACCATTGTATATATCAATTCTTGTATTTCAAATTATACTTAGAATTCTTTTTCGGGTTAATATTAGTTGAAGTGCAGATTTAGAATCTGTAAATAGTACTGATTTTGATAATTTGTTATTTTGTATGTATTTTAGCCCTTGTTTTATTGCAAAGAGTTCTGCTTCTATTATTTCTGTATTGTTTGGTAGTTTCCATATTGTTGTTATATTGTTATCTTGTATGTATATAGCTGCTGATGTGGAATCGTTGTTTATTTTCGAGCCATCTGTGAATAATTTTTTATAATTTGATATCGTGTGTTTTCTAACATTATATATGTGCTCTTATTATTTGTTCTGGGATATTTTTGTTTGCTCTTCTAAGAATTTTGTTTCTATATTTTTTGTAATATCAAACCAAGGTGGAATAGGGGTTACGCTTGACGTTTTTATCTTTATTTCACTTGCAATTCTTTGCTTGTTTCTATTATTCTATGATTAAGTTATTTTTTATCCTTTTGAGGGTTATATTCTTTATATTTTCTGTTAACATTTTTTTTATTTGTGTATTTTCTTTTTTTTCTAGTATTTTTAACATTTGGGTGAATTCTTTTTCTTTTAGTTTATTTTTGATCGACATTTTATTTGTTAGGGCATAGAGTGCATTTATTGGAGTGGTCTTTAAACATCCAGTGGCTATTCTCAAAGCTCCATTTTGAACTGTTTCAATTTTTTTGTGTCATTTGCTGTTCCATAAATTGTATACCATATTCTATTTTTGGTTTTATGTAGATATCATAGAATTTTATCATTGTCTCTCTGTTTGCTCCCCATGTTGTTGTTTTTTTTTCATTATGTTTATTCTATTTGTACATCTAATTTTCAAGTTATTAATATGGTTTTTCCACTTTAGTTTTGGTGCGTCGAATTCGAGTCCTAGGATTGTATGTTTATTTGTGAATTTTAGTTCTTCATTATTTATTTTTATTATTGGTATTTGTCTTATTCTTTTTTTTGTAAAGCACATTACTTTGCTTTTAGTTAAATTTAATTTAAGCTCCCAGCCCATTTTACTATTTTATTTAATCCTATTTCTAGATTGATTTTTGCTTCTTCTAGATTTTCATTATTGTTATTATATTTATGTCATCTGCATATATTATTTTTTTTTTTTTCTGTTAGATTTAGATCTGACATCATTATTTGAATAGTAATGGACTTAATGGAGATCCTTGTGGAAGTCCTTTACTTATTCTCCTTCCTCGGATTTTTGGTTTCCTATTATTATTTGGTAGGATCTATTATTTAAAAAATATATCCATCTGAGAGGAGTACCCGTTATACCTAGTTTAGCTGCTTTTATTATTATTGCATCGTGGTTTACTTTGTCAAAAGCTTTTTCTAGATCTAGAGATGCTATTAGGGCATATTTTTTCTATTTATAAGCTTTTTAATATGAAAATTGATTATTTGTAGTGTATCTATAGTTGAGCTATTGGGTCTGAAACCTGTTATGTCTTGACTTAGTTTGTTATTTTTTTCAAGCCACCATATTAGTCTGTTGTTTATGCTTTCCATTTTCCCTATACATGAGATTCTGCTTATGAATCTATATGATTTTTTATCTGCTGGATCTTTATCCGGTTTTAATATCGGATTTACAATGATTTCTTGAATTCTATAGGATATTCTCCTTTTATAACTGATTATAGTTTAAAATTTTTTCCAGTAGGTTATTTGGGATTTTTATAAAATTCATAGGGATACTGTCTGGGCCACAAGCTTTATTTTTGTCTTTTTATTACAGAATTAATTCTTTTAATGTTATCTCCTTATTTAATCCGCTTGTGCTTGGCAATTCTTTAAATTTTTAATTCTGATTTTGTTATTAAGCATTTTGTTTTTGTGTTTATTATTCTTTGGAATTCTTCTGTTAGCAGTTCTAATTTCCTTTTAGTTTCTTGTACTGGCTGATCATTATTTATTAGAGGGTAGTTGTTGATTCTATTATTACCTGAAAGTTTCTTAATAAAATTCCATTTTTTGGTTGGGGTTTTAACATCTTACTATCATTTGATTTTTTTTTTTTTTTTGTATTCTATTCTGTTTTTTTCCTTAGGATTTTTTCTCCATTTGTTGAATGCTTTGTTTCTTTTTAGTTTCTTGTACTGGCTGGTCATTATTTATTAGAGGGTAGTTGTTGATTCTATTATTACCTGAAAGTTTCTTAATAAAATCCCTGATTTTTTTGGTTGGGGTTTTAAAATCTAAAGGCAGAAATTTGACCAACTATTTCTTTTTTCCTTTTCTATTGTATCTCTTGCTATCATTTGATTTTGTTTGTATTCTATTGTTTTTTCGTTAGGATTTTTTCTCCATTTGTTGAATGCTTTGTTTCTTTGCTTTATTACTTCCTTACATTTTTGATTCCACCAAGGTTTTGTTGGTTTATTTTATTAAAGTCATTGTTTAATCTGAAATGTTCTGTCCCTATTTTTTATTGTTTCTGTTATTTCTTACAGTGATTTTATCTTACCTACATCTATTTTTCGTATTTCTTCTTTAAATGTTATCCAACCTTCTTCATTAAATTTCCATTTTTTTCTTTAACAATTGTTTCTATATTGTGACTAGAATCTCTTATTACGACTGGAAGGTAATCACTTCCTCCATATATATTTGCTTCTACTTCTAAGTGGCTTAGTTCCGGGGTGCCCAGAACTAGGTCTATTGTAGATCCTTCACCTGTTTTTGGATCAATTCTATGATTTGTTTTTTTGGAGTTAGCAATAGCCCTTTACTTCCTAAAAGAACAAATGTATCCACTTTTAAGTAAAGTGTCCTTTTGGGTAAAATATCCTGATTTGGAAGGTGTTTGCTGAAGACGACTTTTGAGTCCGGTTATGTTGATGGTACTGGCAACTCGGCGTCAGCCCTGGTTCTTCCCGAAGCTCAGAAAACTCGGAAACATGACAGGGTGTGGACGCTAAATCGTGCACTGACTGCAACAAAATTTTAAGCCATCATGGATCCTGAACCAGGTAATTTACTGCAGAGGTCTTTTCTTTGTGTAATAGGCGAATTAAAACTATATGTTGAGTACCAGTATATTCATAATTGATAAAAAATAAAGGTTTTATGCTAACATGTATAAATGTGACAAAGCTGTCCTATGAGGCATATGCATGGCATACTTGACCATATGTGAACACAGACTACTGCTTATACTTTTGCAACAAACATCTTTCATCTGTGTTCCCTTACTGTACCATATGTTATCTTACTTTTTTATATGTTTATAAAAGAAAACTTTGTGTCAGGTTCTGTAATCTCCATAAAGACGTGGCAGATTATACTGAAACAAGGTTGCATACTGCACTATAATTATGTGCGTGCTGTAGTAAACGAATTAGTAATTATTTTCAGGTTGATCAGGAATGACAACAACCAGTTTTTATAAGGATGCAAAAGGATATAGGCAACTAGATATGCATCAATATTTGTGCGTACGTGATACAGAAGATATTGTTGAATATGCTGTGGATGAGGTGGATGATACTTGCTCACCATATGAGTCTAAGAAAGGTACATAAGTTATTTACGAAATAATGTTCAATAAAACTAGCCACAATATTCATCTAAAAAAATCAATAAGTGTAAAATAACAAAGCAACCGATATCTGTGTCCCTGATCAAGATAATAAAATATGAGTAGAATAAACATTCTGGTGAAAAGTTGACTGATATATTTTACATAGGATATAAAGAATGTTTCAAATATTTCAGAGCTGTCTGCTAATGGGGGTGAATTCTATAGGATATTCTTTTATCCATAACTGATTATACGTTTAATTTTTTTTTCCAGTAGGTTATTTGGGATGTTTTTATAAAATTCATAGAGGATATTGTCTGGGCCATAAGCTTTGTTTTTTGTCTTTTTATTACTGATATTAATTCTTTTAATGATATCTCCTTATTTAATCCGCTTGTGGTAGGCAATTCTTTTAAATTCTTTAATTCTGATGTTGTTATCAAGCATTTTGTTTTTGTGTTTATTATTCTTTGGAATTCTTCTGTTAGCAGTTCTAATTTCCTTTTAGTTTCTTGTACTGGCTGGTCATTATTTATTAGAGGGTAGTTGTTGATTCTATTATTACCTGAAAGTTTCTTAATAAAATTCCCAATTTTTTTGGTTGGGGTTTTAAAATCTTGCTATCATTTGATTTTTTTTTTTTGTATTCTATTGTTTTTTTCGTTAGCATTTTTTTCTCCATTTGTTGAATGCTTTGTTTCTTTTTAGTTTCTTGTACTGGCTGGTCATTATTTATTAGAGGGTAGTTGTTGATTCTATTATTACCTGAAAGTTTTAATAAAATTCCCGATTTTTTTGGTTGGGGTTTTAAAATCTAAAGAGAGGCAGAAATTTGACCAACTATTTCTTTTTTCCTTTTCTATTGTATCTCTTGCTATCATTTGATTTTTTTGTATTCTATTGTTTTTTTCGTTAGGAATTTTTTCTCCATTGTTGAATGCTTTGTTTCTTTGCTTTATTACTTCCTTCCACCAAGGTTTTGTTGGTTTATTTTTATTAAAGTCATTGTTTAATCTGAAATGTTCTGTCCCTATTTTTATTGTTTCTGTTATTTCTTTCAGTGATTTTATCTTACCTACATCCATTTTACGTATTTCTTCTTTAAATGGTATCCAACCTTCTTCATTAAATTTCCATTTATTTTCTTTAACTATTGTTTCTATATTGTGACTAGAATCTCTTATTACGACTGGAAGGTAATCACTTCCTCCATATATATTTGCTTCTACTTCTAGGTGGCTTAGTTCCGGGGTGCCCAGAACTAGGTCTATTGTAGATCCTTTACCTGTTTTTGGATCAATTCTATGATTTCTTTTTTCTTTTTGAGTTAGCAACAGCCCTTTACTTCCTAAAAGAACAAAATTGTCCACTCTTAAATAAATGGTCCTTTTGGGTAAAATATCCTGATTTGGAAGGTGTTTGCTGTAGACGACTTTTGAGTCCGGTTATGTTGATGGCACTGGCAGCTCTGCGTCAGCCCTGGTTCTTCCCGAAGCTCAGAACACTCGGAAACATGAGAGGGTGTGGACGCTAAATCGTGCACTGACTGCGACAAAATTTTAAGCCATCATGGATCCTGAACCAGGTAATTTACTGCAGAGGTCTTTTCTTTGTGTAATAGGCGAATTATAAACTATATGTTGAGTACCAGTATATTCATAATTGATAAAAAAAATAAAGGTTTTATGCTAACATGTATAAATGTGACAAAGCTGTCCTATGAGGCATATGCATACTTGGTATACTTGACCATATGTAAACACAGACTACTGCTTATACTTTTGCAACAAACATCTTTCATCTGTGTTCCCTTACTGTACCATATGATATCTTACTTTTTTATATGTTTATAAAAAGAAAACTTTGTGTCCAGGTTCTGTAATCTGCAATGTACCATAAAGACGTGGCAGATTATACTGAAACAAGGTTGCATACTGCACTATAATTATGTGCGTACTGTACTAAAATGAATTAGTAATTATTTTCAGGTTGATCAGGAATGACAACAACCAGTTTTTATATGAATGCAAAAGGATATAGGCAACTAGATATGCATCAATATTTGTATGTACGTGATGCAGAAGATATTGTTGAATATGCTGTGGATGAGGTGGATGACACTTGCTCACCATATGAGTCTAAGAAAGGTACATAAGTTATTTACGAAATAATGTTCAATGAAACTAGCCACAATATTCATCTAAAAAATCAATGTGTAAAATAATAAAGCAACCGATATCTGTGTCCCTGATCAAGATAATAAAATATGAGTAGAATAAACATTCTGGTGAAAAGTTGACTGATATATTTTACATAGGATATAAAGAATGTTTCAAATGTTTCAGAGCTGTCTGCTAATGGGGGTGAACCTCCTGATGATACACTTGTATTAGAACTTGACTTCAGTCTCCCCACCCCATTCTCAACCCAAACCCTAGAATGAATGTAGAAAATTCTCAAGGTTGTACTGGGAACATGTTCATAGCATATAATTCCCACATATGATGCCTGTGGCTATTCTTAAAGCACCATTTTGAACTGCTTATTTTTTTTTTGTGTCATTTCCTGTTCCATATATTGCTATACCATATTCTGTTTTTGGTTTTATGTAGATATCATGAAATTTTATCATTGTCTCTCTGTTCGCTCCCCATGTTGTTGATTTTTTTTCATTGTGTTTATTCTATTTGTACATTTAATTTTTAAGTTATTGATGTGTTTTTCCACTCTAGTTTTGGGGCGTCAAATTCAAGTCCTAGTATTGTATGTTTATTTGTGAAATTTAGCTCTTCATTATTTATTCTTATTATTGGTATTTGTCTTATTGTTTTCTTGTAAAGCACATAACTTTGCTTTTAGTTAGATTTAATTTAAGCTCCCAGCCCATTTTACTATTTGATTTAATCCTATTTCTAGGTTGATTTTTGCTTCTGCTAGGTTTTCATGTATTGTTATCATATTTATGTCATCTGCATATATTATTTTGTTTGTTTTTTTCTGTTAGGTTTAGATCTGTCATCATTATGGAGAATAATAATGGACTTAATGGTGAACCTTGTGGAAGTCCTTTTCTTATTCTTCATTCCTCGGATTTTTGATTTCCTATTATTATTTGGTAGGATCTTTTATTTAAAAAATATATCCATCTGAGAGCAGTACCCGTTATTCCAAGTTTATCTGCTTTTATTATTATTGCATCGTGGTTAATCATGTCAAATGCTTTTTCTAGATCTAGAGATGCTATTAGGGCATATTTTTTTTCTCTTTATAGGCTTTTTTAATATGAAAATCAATTATTTGTAGCGTATCTATAGTTGAGCTGTTAGATCTGAATCCTGTTATGTCTTGACTTATTTTGTTATTGTTTTCAAGCCACCATATAAGTCTTTCCAGTATTTTTCCTAAACGAGATTCTGCTTATGAATCTATATGATTTTTTTTATCTGCTGGATCTTTATCCGGTTTTAATATCGGATTCACTAATGATTTCCTGAATTCTATAGGATATTCTTTTGTCCATAACTGATTATACGTTTATTTATTTTTTTCATTAGGTTATTTGGGATGTTTTTATAAAATTCATAGGGGATATTGTCTGGGCCATAAGCATTGTTTTGTCTTTTTATTACTGATATTAATTCTTTTAATGTTATCTCCTTATTTAATCCGCTTGTGCTAGGCAATTCTTTTAAATTCTTTAATTCTGATTTTGTTATCAAGCATTTGTTTTTGTGTTTATTATTCTTTGGAATTCTTCTGTTAGCAGTTCTAATTTCCTTTTAGTTTCTTGTACTGGCTGGTCATTATTTATTAGAGGGTAGTTGTTGATTCTATTATTACCTGAAAGTTTCTTAATAAAATCCCTGAATTTTTGGTTGGGGTTTTAAAATCTAAAGAGAGGCAGAAATTTGACCATTTCTTTTTTCCTTTTCTATTGTATCTCTTGCTATTATTTGATTTTTTTGTATTCTATTTTTTTCGTTAGGATTTTTTTTCTCCATTTGTTGAATGCTTTGTTTCTTTGCTTTATTACTTCCTTACATTTTTGATTCCACCAAGGTTTTGTTGGTTTATTTTTATTAAAGTCATTGTTTAATCTGAAATGTTTTGGCCCTATGTCTCTTACTATTTATGTTATTTCTTTCAGTGATTTTTATCTTACCTACATTTGTTTTTCGTATTTCTTCTTTAAATGGTATCCAACCTTCTTCATTAAATTTCCATTTTTTTTCTTTAACAATTGTTTCTATATTGTGACTAGTATCTCTTATTACGACTGGAAGGTAATCACTTCCTCCATATATATTTGCTTCTACTTCTAGGTGGCTTAGTTCCGGGGTGCCCAGAACTAGGTCTATTGTAGATCCTTTACCTGTTTTTGGGTCAATTCTATGATTTGTTTTTTTTGAGTTAGCAATAGCCCTTTACTTCCTAAAATAACAAATGTATCCACTTTTAAGTAAAGTGTCCTTTTGGGTAAAATATCCTGATTTGGAAGGTGTTTGCTGAAGACGACTTTTGAGTCCGGTTATGTTGATGGTACTGGCAACTCTGCGTCAGCCCTGGTTCTTCCCGAAGCTCAGAAAACTCGGAAACATGACAGGGTGTGGACGCTAAATCGTGCACTGACTGCAACAAAATTTTAAGCCATCATGGATCCTGAACCAGGTAATTTACTGCAGAGATCTTTTCTCTGTGTAATAGGCGAATTATAAACTATATGTTGAGTACCAGTATATTCATAATTGATAAAAAATAAAGGTTTTATGCTAACATGTATAAATGTGACAAAGCTGTCCTATGAGGCATATGCATGGCATACTTGACCATATGTGAACACAGACTACTGCTTATACTTTTGCAACAAATATCTTTCATCTGTGTTCCCTTACTGTACCATATGATATCTTAGTTTTTTATGTTTATAAAAGAAAACTTTGTGTCCAGGTTCTGTAATCTACCATAAAGACGTGGCAGATTATACTGAAACAAGGTTGCATACTGCACTATAATTATGTGCGTACTGTACTAAAATGAATTAGTAATTATTTTCAGGTTGATCAGGAATGACAACAACCAGTTTTTATAAGGATGCAAAAGGATATAGGCAACTAGATATGCATCAATATTTGTGCGTACGTGATAGAGAAGATATTGTTGAATATGCTGTGGATGAGGTGGATGATACTTGCTCACCATATGAGTCTAAGAAAGGTACATAAGTTATTTACGAAATAATGTTCAATAAAACTAGCCACATTATTCATCAAAAAAAAAAAAAAAAAAAAAAATCAAAGTGTAAAATAATAAAGCAACCGATATCTGTGTCCTGATCGAGATGATAAAATATGAGTAGAATAAACATGATTTACATAGACAGGATATAAAGAATGTTTCAAATATTTCAGAGTTGTCTGCTAATGGGGTGAATTTCCTGATGATACACTTGTATTAGAACTTGACTTCAGTCTCCCCACCCCATTCTCAACCCAAACCCAAGAAGGAATGTAGAAAATTCTCAAGGTTGTACTGAGAACATGTTCATGGCATACAATTCCCACATATGATGCCAGTGGCAGCAGTGAAAATGAAGAGGGCATCTCTCATCCAGCAAATCTGTTCAAGAGATGGATGACCTCTGATGACCTCTTAGATATTGTTGCTCAGCAGTCCAACTTGTATGCAGTACAACAAAATATAAACAAACTATTAGCTTTAGAGAGGTCAGATCTTCAGAAATGCTTTGGATTGTGAATGACTATTTCTGTCTGTAGAATACCTAATACAAGATTGCACTGATCAAGCTTTTTCTGTGGAAAAAAAACAGTTCAACCATATGCAATGACAGGTGGGAGGAAGTAAAAGTGAATTAACACCTCACAGATAAATCTCAAACAGATTCTAAAGACAAATTAACTAAGATAAGGTTCTTACTCGGACACCTGAGATCAAAATTCAAAGAAATCCCCATAACAATATTTGTGTGTAGATGAGCAAATGGTACTTTTCAAGGAGAATTCATATATTCCTAAGAAACCACATAAACGTGCATATATGATTTTTATTTTGGCAGATGATATGGGAAAGGTGTATGATTTCATGCCATGTGTTGGTAAAATAGAGCCTTTAAATAATACAAATGTTATAGACCTGGAACCAAGTGATATTTCAATGCTCCATCTTATGCAGAACATGTTTTTGTATACCTAAGGCGACAATTTTGTCCTTTTTATGAGAATTGTTTCTTATGAATACAATTTTGAAAACAGTGTGGCTTAAGAACAACTCTACCACACCATTTTCTTACTCTTGTACAAAAAAATTCAGGCAAAGGAGAAAGGTCAGGAAGTAAAGGAATAGTAGGTTATTCTGATTTATTAGATTAAATAAGTTTATTCCAGTGATGTTCGTTATTTGTTGGTTTGTTGTTGAATTCCATAAGGGATGTTGGTTATTCTGATTTATTAGATTAAATAAGTATTCCGGTGATGTTCGTTATTTTTTGGTTTGTTGTTGAATTCCATAAGGGATGTTGGTTATTCTGATTTATTAGATTAAATAAGTTTATTCCGGTGATGTTCGTTATTTTTTGGTTTGTTGTTGAATTCCATAAGGGATGATGGGCATTAAAATCTCCTATTATGAGTTTTGGTCTTTCTATTTGGTCTATATAATGTTCCATTTCTTTTTGGTTTACTTTGTTGCATGGGTTATAAATTAGAAGTAAGTTTAACCATCCTCTTTTATAGCTAATGTTTCAATTTTATTATTTTGTATTTCATTAAGATTTATCTTCCTGTATTGTATATTGTTTTTTATACATATTGTTAGGCCGCCCCCCCCTTTGTTCTATTCTGTCTTTTCTTATGATTTCATAATCCATTATATTAAATTTATCATTTGTTGTGAGCCATGTTTCGCAAATTGCGAATACCTCTGGATTTTCTGTATGAATTAGATAGTCTATATCTAGTTTTTTGTTTATTACTGATCTGGCATTCCAAAGGATTGTTTTAGTCATTAAACCATTCAAATATTTGTTTTAATATAGGAGCAGCTTCAGTTATTATTTCGATTATTGTTTCATCTGATTTTAATTTTTCGGTTACTTTGGTTATTAATGCGAAAATTCCTTTGTTATTTCAACCCATGAAGGTGTTTTTCTTTGTTTTTCTGTTCTTCTTCTTTCTTCTTTTCTTTTATTGTTGGGGTTTTGTATGGTGTTGGGAGTGACCATGTTATGGGGGATTCTGTGTTTCTTGTCTTTTGTGTTTTGTTCCTGTGTGTGTGTGTGTTTGTTCTTTTGTTTTTCCTTGATTGTTTTTTTGTTTTGATTTCATTGATTGAATTGGTGTTTTCTGATCTGTTTGTGTTATTTTTTTGTTTTGTGGGTGTTTTTTGTGCTGGTGTTATGTTATTTGTTTGTGTTAGTATTTGAGCAAATGTTTGTGTGTTGTGTTTGTATTGTTGTATTGTGTTTGTGTTATCATCTATTTGCTGTTCGTGTTCTGTTTCTGTGTTGTGTATTTCTGCTGTGGTAATTATTATATATATTTTTTGTATTGGGTTGTGGTGTTGGGTTTCAGTGATTTTTTTTTCACTTCTATAGCTGTTTGGTGTCGTATTTTTTTGTTTATGTCTTGGGCTCTCTGATGTATCGGGCACGTTTTGTCATATGCTGGGTGGTTTCCTTCACAGAAATAACATTGAGGTGGATTTGTGCATTCTTTGTATTTGTGACCTTGTTGGCTGCATTTGCTACATCTTATTTTGTTTTTACGAGATATCCCATGACCATACAAGACAAAACATTTGGATATAGGAAATGTATACTGGTATATCTTACAGCTTATATGTCCTATGGTTGTTTATTTGGTAATGGACCTCTGAATGTTAATTTTAGGGATTTTGTTGGTATCCATTTGTTTTCACCTGATATTTTGCTTTGTTTATGCATTCTTGTTATCTCTTTTATGTGTGTGTCTGGTCTCCATAGTATTTTGATTTTTTATTTAATTTCTTCTATTTCTGTATCTAATTCAATTGGGGATATTGTGCCATATGAGCAACCTTGATCTTTGTTTGATGCTGGTTGTTTGCAGTTTACTTCCCAGTTTCCTAGATGTTTTATTTCATTGAGAGGTCTAATTATAGACAGATCAACTACCTCGAATTTGATGGCTCTTCCGTCTCCTATTATTTCTTCTATTTCTGTGTCTAATTCAATTGGGGATATTGTGCCATATGAGCAACCTTGATCTTTGTTTGATGCTGGTTGTTTGCAGTTTACTTCCCAGTTTCCTAGATGTTTTATTTCATTGAGAGGTCCAATATAGACAGATCAGCTACCTCGAATCTGATGGCTTTTCCGTCTCCTATTATTCTTAGGGAATTTTCGATGATGTATTTTGAAAACTGATTTGTTAATGGCCTCAGTTATTCTTATAGGGTGGTTCAAGTTTGAGGTAGTTGATTTGTTTGTCATCTGAATTAGTATTACATTTCCTTGTGGGGTACCTTGAGGGGACCGTCTGTCACACCCTTTTATTTGGGCCCCTTCCCATTGCCTGTGGTCGATTTTTTTTCGAAATCGCCCGAACAGTTTTTGAATTATTGTCAAAAAACGAAAAATGCGAAATTCGCCATTTTGAAAATGCAGCACCTGGGTCAAAGGATTCGACTTCAGAAACGGCAAGACATTCAATTTTATTTGATTTTTGCACAGAACTACCTTATATCTACAACTTGATCGAGAGCGTTTTTTCGATTTCGACTTCAATTTTTTTTGTGAATTTTTGAAGTGGGACTTCAAGAAAAAAAAAGGTAAAAATTTTCTTACATTGACCACTTTTACAAGAAGTACAGGCAAAAACTGCGAAAACGCTCTCGATCAAGTTGCAGATATTTTATTTTTCTACAAAATGAGCCATAATATGTTAATTTTGGACATATGGTGTGCCCGGAATCCTTTGACCCACCCCTAAGGTGGAGTTCCGAGATATCGGCATTTTACGTTTCTTCATCTTTCCAAGGCTATCTTGATATCAACAAAACAAGGCATAAGATTAGTCTTCCTACACCATAATCCTCTATCATCTACCTGCATTCCGAAGTCTTGCGGACATTGCCAGCACGTAACGGTTTCTCAAAATCTTACGTATAGTGCGGAGTGGTGGCAGTGATCTGGGGGTCTATAGGCCTACATTGACCATTTTTAAAAATTTCTCAAAAAAAAAAAATCATACAGCCATTCTGATTTCATGTTTGAATAGAACTATCTTTCTACTATTATATGCAGAAGCCATTTTTGAGAAGTTGACCTTACTTTTTTCTTGGTGAATATTTTCCGAAGGTGACTATTTTAACACCCTAATAGGAGATTTTGAAACATATGTCACTTTTACAAGAACCACGTGAAAATATTGCAAATCCTCATGGCAGTATGTAATAGAACTATTATTCAGCTACAAAATGAGCCATAATACTTTAAAATCGGACCGAATACGTGTGCTATGCGTAAAAATATGACGGACCTAAAATGCGATCTTATTCCTTTTTATTATGTTTACATTTTACATGACAAATCATGTACAGAATACTTGTATTTGATATAATTATCTATCATACCTATTATTGATGCTCTAATGGGTTTTACAACGTATAATATTTGTCGAAAGAATAACTTTTCTCCAGTCGGACGGGTACCAAACACATACTTTTCCCCGCGCGGCCGGGCCGTCCTGGACCATGAAAATCTTTTTAAATCTGCGGAATAACTCTACGGGGTCACGTAGCCAAATTTCACTCTCAGACCCCGTGGAAAGACGAAAAACAATTACATGGCGATGTGAAACTATGTATATAAGGTATATGAGCACATATAGATAATTTTCGTGTACCCCATGACCTTTTGTTTATTTATATTGTTACTTCCGTTTGTTTCTTTGTTTGTTGATTTGTTTATTTGTTTTTTTGTTTGTTAGTTGTGTTTTCTAATATTTCTAAAAGTTATGAACACATTTTAACGAGATTTTAACCAAAGGTGAGTTTTAACCTAACTTAGACGCTTATTGCAGTTTGGTGGTGATGCGGACCATGGTTTGGATCCAGGATTTTTTTTTCTAACTCGAAAAGTTATGAACAGATTTGAATAAAATTTTAACCTGAGGTTTGTCTTAGCCGGTGGTGATCCTGAATATTTGGCAAAACTACCCCCCATGGGTGGGGGGGGAGGTTTGCATTTTCGAAATTTTTTGCTCATAGATCAAAGTAACTATGTATGATGAAAACATAAAGAAAGAAAATACACCATATGAAAACATATCATGTTTAGTTATTTGTATGGAAAATTTCTTCATTCGTTTTTTGGACGCTTGCCGGATTTTTGAAATTATTCCAAAAAAAGAAGGTTGGTCTCATCTTATGTGAAATTTGATAAGCTTTCAGAAAATAACCTCATATTTTTATTATCTCTAATCATTGCGTCACAATTGCCGATTTTCTAAGGTAACATAAAAAAATAATATTTCGGTCGACATCGAAAATCGCTGCTACCACCTAAAAAATAACGGTCGGGCCTTGAAATTTTCAGGGGAGAACCGGGGGCCTAGAAACTCCTTGAAAATGCATTAAAGTCAATTTCGGCAAGAGGGGCGAAAATCGCCGAAAAATCACCAGAAGGTCCCCTTGAGTTACTGTTCCGTAGGTATGGCTCTCCGTGGTCTGTTTGCCGTTTTCTTCGTTTCGTGCTTGTTTGGAGTATGGGTAATCTTCGCTATCGCTGTCTCGTCTTCTGCCGTTTTTCTGGTGTTCGTTTCCAGGTTCAATACCTGGATTTAGATCAAAGCTTTCGTTCATAAGCTTTCACTTCACTTTCAGTACTTTGTAAAGATTGATCACTCTTTCACGTTGATGTGTTCACTTTTCAAAGTCTCGATCGGTTCCCGGGTATATATTTGATGAAATTGAGATCTAACTCCAACAATGTGAAAAATTAAACTGCATTACTCGTTTATAATAACAAGAAAAAAATTAATATACCAAGTAAAAAGAAAGAAAGAAAGAAAGAAAGAAAACAACGTCCAAAACTCGAGAAAAGCTATAACAAAGTTTACAGAAAAGATAAACATATATCATATGGGACAGTGCGAACATGGGACCAGAAATACGCCTTATGAAAAAAATATAATAGACATAATCAGAATTACG